TGCTTGTTGTTGTTGTTTATAAACTTATAATTTTTGATGAATGCTCATTATGGTACATCAGTATACCAAGTTTCATTGTTATAGGATGCACCATAAACAAGTTATAAGCACAAACACTTTTTACAAGTTCTTATTGCCTGAGGCTGTTTGTTGTTGTTTACAAACTTGTAATGTTTACATTTTGATACGAATGATGGGTTGCATAATATGTGTACAAAGTTTTATCACTCTGGGTATTAGCTTTACCGAGTTAGCACACTTTATTTGTTCCTATCATAATGTATGGCCTGGGGCTATTTTTTTTGGTTACTTGTAAACAACATTGTTTACAAACAAAATCATATTATGCTCTTGCACGACCTGTCATGGATTGTTAAAAGTTTCATCTCTGTATCTTTCCTGGTTTTTTTATTCGCTTGTCGAAAACTGAACAACGACAATGACAAGAAGAATTTTGAAAACTGACTCTCTTGAATAAATCAATTGCCGATTACTCGATTTAAGCCATTTCCTGGGTACATGTGTTTTTGACGATATGGATCAGACTGATATGTCAGCAGTATTGTTCAGCAATAAATTGTTGATATGTCAGCAGTATTGTTGAACAAGAGAGTGGTTGGACGGACCGGAGACTTTACTTACGATACCAATTAGCATAGATTACACCGTATGATGTCACAGCCCATTTTTTTATGACTTTAAGTTTCTTGGTTCTCTGGACATGATAGCTCCATTATTCTGGTAAACCAGAGTGTTGAAACAACTTGAAATAATAATATATCCAATGTTTAGGTCTCCTCAAGGAGAGTGACGATACAACACATGCATGCTAGTTGCATCGGTGGGTAGCAGTTAGAGCAATTGCTGAGGTGTTTCGATCGATCGCGCACTGCACTCGCGTACATGCATGTTGGCTTTTTCACTTGTTTTCACGCCATATCTCTGGAACACAGTCATTTCAGCCTTTCACTTTTCATGCTTTCATAGCCCTGAAGCTGCTCATAGGCCACCTCGTAGCCTGTAGTGCGAGAACTCGCATGGACAGACAAACAGGCAGACAGGCACACAGACCAAGTACCGTAACCCTCGCTGCGCATGCGTGCCGAGGGTTAATAAGGTAGAGAACAATGACAGAGCAAGCAATTCAATCAGTTTGGCGCGTGTAAGGATAGGGTGGTAGAGGAAAAGGTGTATGTGATAGAAACTATTGGTGTAGCCATCCTAGTCACTTCAGTTGTATCGCTACTCTCCATGAGGGGAAGAGGCCTATGTGAGGAGACCGAAACGTTGGATATTATATCCAGTTTGTTTCAACACTCTGGTTTATCAGAATAATATTAAAAAAAGTCAACCCATTATTATGGATATTTTCCGCTCTAACGTTTTAGGTAAGTGGTTTTAGAGAAAACGGCTTTTTCATTTTGATTAACTTATTACACCTGATATGCTAGTACTGTTATTTTTGCATGTCATGGCGTGAGAGGCGAGATTAAGAAGTGCAGGCCGACGGACAGACTTAAATACCGAGTACCGTAACTCTCACTGCCAGCGCATCATGCTCTCAGAGAGTTAATCTAGCAAAGAAGTGTTTTCATAATAATGTCAACCATGACAGGTTTGCCCTTGGAGGGTCAGTAGCTATAGTGTATCTGCATTACAACTAGATGTCCCCTGCAAAGCATGTGTCAACAACAAGGTGAAGTAGAAAGGCAAAGGAAACAGGTCAACTACACCCAGGACAGCTATTTTTCCAAGGAAAAAACAAGAGCTGCCCTAGGTGGGATTTGAACCCACGACATTCTGCAGTCTAGGCGAGCGCTGTACCTAGTGAGCTACCAGGGCAACTCAGCTGGTAGGGGTCAAATCCATGCGAGGTCCCTTCGAGAAAAGGAAAGGTGTCATTTCAAGACATGTCATCTGTTTTTGCCAATCCTTGGCCCTGGCTCAAGATTGGTTACCATACAGAACTGGTGATGTATCCTGAAAAAGATAAGACATCACAGGTGCATCATTGGTTCGTCAGAACAGGATTGTGTTGTTGACTGATATATATAGTCTTATCCCAGTACCTACCTTTCCACATTGTGGCTGCTATCACTCACTAGCTCTTCAACCAGCAATAATTATGCAGATTAGTTGTAAAATTTTATCCTGACAGCATGTCACTTCTAGAGTGCTAACATTTTTTTAACCAGGCTCCTTTGTAAAATACAAAATGTAATTGCATTCCTCAGCTGTTTAGTACTAAGTAGTTAATGTAAGTGGCAGAGCCAAAGTGCACACAAGTAGGCCTTGACACATTATGCCAGCATAATTTTGGGAATAATATGGAATAATAAGCTTATTGAAATTATGCTGGAATAATCATCAAAAATTATAGCTCAGTAACAATAATAGGTTAGAGCTTACATTAAATTAGCTATGTGTGCGTACGCGCATGCGTGCAGTCATTTGCTAAAACATTGCACGTGGCATAAGCAGGTGGAATTTTCATGGCTACTACTAGCAGCACGAGTGACTGGGGACCAGTGAAGCTTCAGAGGTTGAACCAGAAACCAGGAGCGGCATGTATGACGCCAGTGTCGATACAGCAGATGATTCAGGATTATATTTCTGTGTCTGTTATGTTACAATACAATAGAAAATGGTGTTTTCAACATTTTTTATTCGAGAATAATAGGCTAGCTTCATGAGAATAATGGGCACTATTTGAGAGCATAAGGGAATAGAATAATTGGGGAAATTTTGAGCATAATCATGTGTCAAGGCCTACACACAAGTCAGGAGATGGCCAGTGGGGGATCTAGGATTTTGAAAGGGGGGTTCGTCAAGCCAAGATGACACACAGTGCAGAAAACACCCTCAAAAGAGGTTTAGCAACAGAAACCGGAGGACTTTAGCTAAAAATGGAAAGGTACTCCATTAATATGGACACGACAAACTTATGCACCAACAAGGAATTTGCACAAACATTACAACTGGCGATGGCACCAATCGAAACAAACGACTCCATTGTTTTTTACCGTCCAAGTAAGATTACTTTAGCCCTACACCTTGACGTCCGTGTTGATTCAGTTTGTGTGTGAAAGGTAAACAGACTCTCCAGTCATGTGCAACCTTCAAGTCATTGTCAAACATAAAACGAGGAGAGGTCCTCAAAGATAATATCTCTGTCATGCTGTAAAACTATACAATATAAATTATGGAGTATGACAGAGATATTTTTGAGGACCTGAGGAACGGCTTCAATATGAAGTGCCGTTTGTCTCAGAACTACTTTTTTTGGATCAAGCCTAAACATCGCGTGAATTTACGTAAATATGGTAGCTAAACCTCGGTGTGATTATAGCAATTGTCGCAGGACTTTAGCTAAACACCGCATGACTTTAGCTAAATAGTGCATGACGTTAGCATCCACCGTTGCATTTAGCTAAAATGGCATTACTACAGCTAAAAACCAGCTTTGGCCGTCGACGTTAGCTAGACGAATGTAAAAAATGAATTTAGCTAATAATCGACAACGGATGCAAAATCTGCGGCGTATAGCTCTAAAGTCATGCGCTGATTAGCCAAAGTAGTGCGGTGTTTAGCTAAAGTCATGCGGTGTTTCGTGCTATAATCACAGCTTTACTAGCTAAACTCTCGCGATATTTACGTAAATTCAGGCTTGATCCAAAAAAAGTAGTTCTGAGACAAACGGCACTTCATACTTCAAGACAAGTTCAGTGTTGTCCGAACGACTCCAGTATCCGCTGCGTCACTTCGATCGTTTATAAATCGTGCATACGGAGTAACTAACATGTTTAGTGCAGAGCAGACAAATCCGCACACGCACAGCGCCAGTTTCCAGGCGACTGAAATTCGAATGAGAGTGAAGACGCGATTGGTAACTAACTCGAGCGAGGTTTCAGCCACCAGCGGCGAGCCAGAAACGGTAGGCAGAAGCTATATACAGCACCCGCTCGCCGTCGCGTCCGCCGCGCTTCGCGGAAAAGGGCGCCGCCCACTCTACGCGCACGTATGCGCGGGCGTGACGTACCGCTAGCGCTAGCGTACAGGCGCTTACGTACAGCTAGGCCCAGACTTCTTGTCTCTCTGTGGAAACTAAAAAATAATTATTGTAGACGATAAAGCTACATATTTCTGTAGATTATGTACGTGATCTTGTCCTTTTCATGTAAAAATTTACATGAAAAACAAGGTTTATTACGGAGCGTCCCAGGTATACTACGGGAAATCAAGTACCTCGTGTGGACCAATCAGATTGCTCGATTTCAACCAGCTACGTATAGGTTAGACGCTGAGCTGCGGGAACTACACGATTTAGTGAGCCGAGGAGCGTCGGCGTCCCGAGCGTAGCGAGGGCGCTACTAAGGGCTCCGAGGCTCACTAAATCGCGTAGTTTCCCAAGGCGACGCGTCTAACCGGCTTAGACTACAGCCCAAGTCCGTCCCGCTGCAGTGTCCGTTGTAGACGTTGCTGCCCTTCGGGATCGCGCCGGCCGGCCGTTTGTACGCGTTTTTCCCTGTACGCTTTCTCTAGCGTCTTCCTAGCTCTCTAGTAGTCATGCGCTGCTGCTAGAAGAGCCTGTTCCTGGTTTCTTCGTGGGAAGAACCGCTCCAGAAGCTCGGTTCACCGTACGCGCGCGTGGCGTCTTTTCGAATTGAAGGCGTGGTTGCCGGGGCTACGAATAGTTACCGCGGAAGAGGTCACTAACAAAAATAGTCACCGCTAAACTCGCAATCTGATTGGTCAATTGCGTGTTACCGTAGTCTAAGCTATTATAGTAGGGGATAAAATATCCGGACCCCAATCCGGGGGATAAATAATTACACCCGGACCCAGCAAACGTTAGCTGCTCCGCGAGTAAAGAGAGAAGGGCTTTGGACGCTATGCGCAGAAAGTGTGCCAAGACAGTCCTGTGCTTCAGTGTAGCTGCAGCAGTTTTGTTGGTTGTGCAGGGACTACTTGGTCAGAGGCAACGGCCGACAGATCGTAATGGGGGCGGTGATGACCCTCCAGCAGCACTTGCTCAGCCGCTGTCTCCAACAATCACTCCATCTACGGATCCAGATTTGTCTTATGGTTTGAAAGTATCGTTACAAAAGCAGAGACGGCATGTCTCATTTCCTGAACCCGACACACTTCCCTATCGCAAGTGGCGCAAGAGTACGGAGGACCGGGATACAACTCAAACGTGGGCGGTTGCACTCCGCGACTACCTTTCTATGCTGGACAAAGATATCAGTCCTCACGTGAACCTGGTGTTAGGGGACTATAAGCATAGAATGTTGGTCTTGAATTGGGTTGTTGCTGCTGCAGTCAAACTAGAACCACCCTTACACAATATACTTGTTATATCCCTGCAACAAGGACTATGTGACTTTCTAGCCAACAGTACCTATATTTCCCACCTGTCAAACATAACATGCATTGTTGTCCCAGTGGACACAATATTCTCCTCAAAATCGAACGACGATGGGTGGCTAAAATCTCTGATGGTACGGCCAGTAGTTCTTAGACTGATCAACTACTGGGGATACGATGTTGCCACCTATGATTCTGATGCTGTTGTGCTAAAAAATCCTCAAGAGCTGTACAAACGGCACCCACATGACATTCTGTCCTCCGCCAATATATGGCCAGAATATCAAGCGAAGCCGTGGGGTTTCACCCTCTGTGCTGGAGTTATGGTGTTGAGAGCTTCTTCTGCTACAGGTATATATTACACACATCCGTTATCCTTAGTGTAGGGCACTGGACTAGTAATAGATCTCATCTCTCAAGAGCACACCTTAACTCCTCTTTGCTGATGCTGGGTATACAGTACAAGTCTTGGGTTTGTGCAGGGACCCCCTCATGAATAGGTGTTGGTAGAGTATTCCTATTCTAAATAATTCCCAATCTATGCTGAATATTTAATCATACAAATATCCTGCGAATTTAAAAAAGAGGCATATAGGGATGGTATAAAAAGAAAGGGAGACAAGATAGGGATGGGATACATGAAGCATGGTTAATGAACAGATTTGAGTACGCTGACACCCCCAACCCCATCACACAATCCCTATATTGTTGCCTGGTGTGCTACTCTTAAAGGTTACTAAAAGCAAGCATTCTTTGATCGTGTCCCTGTGTTTATACTGCCACATTCCCTTTTAAACTCCACTTGGACTCTATAAGGGTGTTGGTTACTCAGTAGTGTATTGTAAGTTCTGAGTATTGTAATGGTGAATGTTTAATACTTTACCTAGGCAACAATGTAGGGATTGTGTGATGGGGTTGGGGGTGTCAGCGTACTCAAATCTGTTCACTAACCATGCTTCATGTATCCCATCCCTATCTTGTCTCCCTTTCTTTTTATACCATCCCTATATGCCTCATTTTAAATTCGCAGGATTTTTAATTTACTTGTCTCCACTAATTTTTACACACTACTACGTATTATCTCTGTGGAAGGGGGTAAGCCCCTATAATAATAATAGAGAAAAAATGGCTGTTGTCGCCACGGAAATGATACGCATACCATGTTTCATCTCCACGTGTGCTGCCGTTAGCAAGTTTGAGGAGTGAAGAAGTAATTTTAAAGAAAAGTGCTTGAGGCTATTTGTTGTTGTGGTCGTCATGGAAATGATGTTACACAAATGCGTACCAAGTTTCATCTCCATGCGTGGTACCGTTAGCGAGTTTGAGGAGTGAAGTTAAAGAAAAGTGCCTGAGGCTATTTGTTGTTGTATATAGTTGTCATGGAAACGATGTAATACACATGTGCACCAAGTTTCACCTCAATGCGTGGTATAGTTAGCGAGTTTGAGGAGTGAAGAAGTAATTTTAAAGAAAAGTGCCTGATGCTATTTGTTGTTGTGGTTGTCATAGAAACGATGTAATATATACACATGCGCACCAAGTTTCACCTCCATGCATGCTACAGTTAGCAAGTTTGAGGAGTGAAGAAGTAATTTTAAAGAGGCTAATTGTTGTTGTAGTTGTGGAAACGATGTAATATACATGCGCACCAAGTTTCACCTCCATGCGTGCTATAGTTAGCGAGTTTGAGGAGTGAAGAACTAATTTTAAAGAAAAGTGCCTGAGGCTATTTGTTGTTGTAGTTGTCATGGAAACGATGTAATACACATGCGCACCAAGTTTCGTCCTCAATGCGTGGTATAGTTAGCAAGTTTGAGGAGTGAAGAAGTAATTTTAAAGAAAAGTGCCTGAGGCTATTAATTTTATGCTAGGGTAGACAGCATTAGGCACTTGCGAATGTAAATAATACCTGATTCTGAAAGTAGCTAAGAGAGCCGACGACATCGCATGGGCTTATAATGGCCTTTGGTCGTGCAACCGTTGCAGCAATTCTGCGGAATGGCCGTGTGAAACGTTAGACGGCCACCTGCATAGTTGCTGCCATGGCTGAGCTTGCATGGTGGTGCCATCTTTCATTAACCCCCGGCGCGCATGCGCAGCGAGGGTTACGGTACTTGGTTCGTGAGTGTGTGTGTGTGTGTGTGTGAGTGAGTGTGAGTGAGTGAGTGTGTCTGTCTGTTCGTCTGTTACCACGTTTTCTGCGACGAGACAACGAAATAGCGACACGAACAGGTTCATCGCTACACTCGCCTCATTTTCAAAAAGGTGATTTTGATATAACTTTTGCGTTCAAAAGTTATGGCGTGAAAGTCAAGTGAACAAGCCAAAATGAAAATTAGCACAGGCTTGCCTCGACCGCGTCTGCTCGCTCTGTGTATCTTGAAGGCACAAGAAGTCACAACGAAGGGCATGTATCAACTCCCGCATGCTATCTACTAGTGTAGCTAGCCCGTGAGCTACTAGTGGAATACCACGAGTAAATGCATAAAAAGCCCAGCCATCAATTAGTGGTACCGCGCATGCGCAGTTCGCCCAGAGTTTGCACTTTAGTGTTACTATTGGTCTTGGCTTGCTTCACGATACCGTATTGCCTAGGTTGCCAAGCATCAAACGCTGTGTACCTAGCGTCACAACGGTATCTACCCAACGTATTAGCTCACTCAAGTCCTCTATCGAAGTTTTCTATGCGTGTTTTGTTTGCCTGTGCATAGACAACATTACAGTATAGCCCACAATTTACTTAGCACACATTTCTGTAGACTCCCTTCTGCCACTTAATTATGTGGGCTCAGTGTATAAGGTTGGTAAATACCCCATAACACATACAATCTGAACCAGAAAGAATGATGCACCGACATGAACTGAAAGTCAAACACTATAACAACACCGGTGTTACATTCGGCAGGAAAACCACATGATGCCTGTAATACAGAACCGGGGCCTTTGCATGTAAACTAATAGCTCATACTTTACCTGAAAGCATGCGACATAATATTGTAGGCTTCAATATACAACTACAAGGGCTTACTCCTGTTAGCCACAGTATGTTTTTTTCTTTTCCCCCAAGAGATGCTATGGAGGTCTATATCTAATGTGAGTATAAGAGACGACCAGGTGGCTTTAAACACGGCTCTCAAGAACTTGAATATGACTTGGAAGAGGACGACCCAAATCAGTGAAGTGTGTTCCGTAGACGGATGGGAAGGACAGTCTAGTGGTGGGCTACAGGTGTTTGTGTTCCCAGAACGTCAGTTCTGTCGAGGACACTGCTGCAATGCACACAGAGATGGACTGTATGTTGTTCATCCCAGTGGAACCCATGGAGCCATCAGATTGAAAAGCCGTGTTCTTGAAAGGGCTCATGCCTGGTTTATATCTACTGTCACCAAAGAATTGGCAAGCCCGGAATAAAAGCTTATCGGCTGTTTTATTGTGGGAATGTTGTATGTGATTATAAATTCAACATAGGTGCAGTTGCATGGACCAGTGGCAGGTTATAAACAATCAAAATCTTGTATCCCTGTTGCTGGACATAATTTTTTTTTATATATACTGTCATGGAACTCCATGACTTTTGTGAAATATTCCTGCAGTTTAAAATGAAAAGCACTAAAGTGCAAAACCCTCGGCGGCGTGGAACCACGTATGTGGTTTGGTCTATGTGTCACATGCGTGGTTCCACGCCGCCGAGTACTGTTGTGTCACACTGCGGGCATACCTTCTTCAGGCGTCTATCGATCTCCATCGGTCAGCCCCCTCTGCCTACAACGCGCGGAATGTGCGAGTGCTGATTGCCAGCTAAAATAGTATTTGCACCAGAAATATATCCTCGAGTGCTGCCCTAACAAAATGAAACCATGGCCGCTCAACGATGCTATTTTTAAGGCGAAAAACACGTGATCATTGTGCGCAACCCGCCAGTGTAACACACGCATGCGTTTTATTTCTCGCTTCCTAGAGGTAAGCGAAAAAAATTTGCATATTGGCTTGTTAAATAATTATTATAATGTTATGTACTACGTGCGAGGGACATACCGGATTTCAATGAACCCGAGGGCCTCCGCGTCTGTAGTGTCCCGAGCGCAGCGAGGGCACTTAGCGGAGGACTGAGGGTTCATTGAAATCCGGTATGTCCCGAGTATACGGAGTAAATAACATGTTTAGTGCAGAGCAAATCAGCTCCGTATACGCGCACTGCCGCGTTTCCAAGCACAGGGAATTTGAAAGATGCGAGAAAGAGACGAGAGTGCAAGACCGTCATCTTGTGCGGGACTATTGAACGCCGAACCCTAGGATACGCTGCTCCGCCACTCTAGCTACTCCCGCTGCGGGACTGTCCTCCGCCACTCATCCGAAGAAGCGCGACAGGAGACCTGCGCGAACCATCGCAATCAGAGAGAGGCGAATTCAGGCGCTGTGCGGGCTGCTATACCGAAGGCGTTCGCCGTAGACTTCGTAGCTTTGTCGCGCGCACTCACTCGCGGAGCCCCACCCCCTTATTTGCGTGCGGTGGTTTGTGGCGGGCGTGAGCTGCCTGGCTATCTACTATGTATATTATACATGGCAAGGAGGGAGATGGGCTCAAAGCAGACACAGAAAACTGTCTCGTGGAAAAAGAAAATCAAGATATCAGTTATTTTGATCAACATTTTGTACAGATCATGTTTTGCGGGATACATTTCTTACATGAAATGCTGTTGAACTTGTTGGAAAACAATCATGTTTTCATGTTACTTTTGTTAGCTCACGAGGTTCATATGAGAAATCAGGAACCTCGTACTAACAAATGTGATTGGTCGATTCGAATCAGCTATGCACTAACTTGGTTTTCACGCCATAACTGTCAAACGCATTGGTTTTACGAAAATCGCCACATTCAAAATCAAGCCGGTATAGCGCTGAACCTTTTGGTACCACTCTTTCGTTGTCTCGTTGCGCGTGGTTGCAGAAAATGTGGTAACAGACAGACAGACAGACAGACAAACTTACGGACCAAGTATATACAGTAACCCTCGCTGCGCATGCGCGCCGAGGGTTAACTACGTATGAACTCGTTCTCTCTCTCATGCTCAATAGGAAAACCAAACCAGTTTGTAATTATTGACCACATTATTTAAAAACATAATCATAGAAAGTGGATTAAAAATCACGGTGTCTCCTTTCTACAGGTAAGTACTATTTGTTGTTTGTTTTTGTCCCTCATTGTGAACTCTCTCCTGAGTCAATGAAGTTGTTGATGTGGCTGCACGGGAAGTGTAGGGAAAACAGTTATTCAATCTTACCTCGTGTGGCATGATCTACATATTGAACTATAGCTAACATTTTATACTGACAAAAACACTATAGCTACATTCCGTTAATCTTGACACGTTACTTTTTGCAAGTGGTTGTGTGCTGATTTTGCAACAAAATTTAACTGAACTAAAATGCATGGTCATTATAGTCTATGGTAATTAACTGTATGCATGGGGCCTGCTGCTTTCCTCCATTAATATCATACATGCTGTCTCACATACCTGGCTCACTCTCATTGAATGAGGTCACTTCCTCTTTGTTTTCAAAACTGTGGTTCAGTGCTCCTTTAGTGGATTCCTCAGACGGCAGATAACACACCTCAGACGATTTTTTCGAGACGTGTCGACTGTGTGAGTACCTCAGGAACAAGAAGAGTAGGGCGGCAAAACTGAAGAGTAGGGCGAGCAGTAGTGCTAGTATCGTGGTGATGGCTATGGCCGCTGCTTGGCTGGGGTAGAGGCACTCAGAGTTCTCTCTGGTTACTTGTCCCACCTCAGGCTGGATGGGTGGCCCGGGGGGAGTGGGTGTAGGAGTTTGACTGGTGCTAGTAGACATGTAACGTGGTGTCGAGTCTATAAAACCACAAACAGAAGAGAATTGTATGATGTGATAGTATAAATTATGCATGCTGTAATGTTATTATATATGAACTCAAAAGCTGGTATAACTGCAAAACTTTCCTACATAATATGTGATTGGCTCGCCAATAATAATATTGTATTCATTCTTAAATTCCTTGTTACTTCATATAAGACTAAGTTTTGAGTCACGAAATTTGTTGTTGGATTTCTCCTTTCGGTCAGTATAATTATGTATAACTGTAAGTGTTTTCCTTACCAGTGGGGGCGAAGCAAATGATGTCCATTCTGACAATGGTCACAGCTACTCTTGCGTTGGTTCCCAGCTCTACACTGGACTCTGTTCCATCCACCAGTTCCAATACCACTTCCACTAGAGTCTCAGTCCCATTCCCCATGCTAGGTACAATGTACAGGGGGAGGGAAGTGTTACTAGAGCCGGCAGGAATGATAACTGTCCGCTGCAGGAGGTACAGGTAGTTTATTGACTGTTGCTGGCTGGAGCCAGCTTCTAGTGTGGCAGAGAGGGCAATGACAAAGGGAGCAGTGGCAGTAGAGAAGATAGCTAGCTCTGCAGTCTCTCCCTCCACGACAGTCAAGGTGGTATTCAGGAACTGAACCTGCACAACTGTGACCACATGTAAAGGCCAACGTACATACATACATTGGGCAACATTGTTATGGGAGTTATGGAGCTGTAACCACAATCATGTAAAGGTACATGCAGCCCACGAATTAACTAGATAGAAAAAGAATAATAGAGTAGAGAAAAAGCCACACACATTGGGCAAACATGGCTCACATGCATTAAAAAGCCTCTGAAGCCATGTGTGACAAAATAGGTTACCCATGGGTTCTTACCATCATCACTGACAATAAAGACCTCTGTGTCTGGCTGTTGAATCATCACCCCCTGTTCCTCTCCCTCTGCTGGCTCCACTGTCACCGTGAACTGCTCCAGAGCCTCCACCTCTGTGTCGTCCAGCAGATCCAGGACCACTGAGAGGAGGGCCACACCGGGAGAGATCTCCAATTGGCGACCCAATATGGGAACATAGTCCTGGGCAGCTGTAGAGAGGAAATGAGCACACCAACAGCAAAGGGAAATGGACAGTAACCTTTGAAAAGGAGACACCCTGGGGACATTTATTCAGGTGTCCCTATAGTTTGTTGGAGGTAATAATACTAGAGATGTGCAACGCATTGTTGGCGAGCGAGTGCGAGGAGTTCAATTATATTTCGAGCGTGTTTTGCGCGTACTTAGAATCACATAGAACATTACGGTATGTGTAGTGCCCGACAGAGCTGTCACATATCTCATTGTATATATATATATATATAGAAAATTCCTGCATTGAAACAACTAGGTACGTATGCTCGCTTCGCTCGCCAATAATACACTAATGTATTTTAGTATCGTGCAGAACCAAGTGTCCATTGTAGAGGTGTCCCTTTGACGGTCCTTTTTCAAATGTTTTTCACCACACTTGAAATAGAACCATGGGTATATGAATTATGTGTAGCTATAAGCCTACATAGCTTTTCATAGTCACACGCACCAGTGGCTGATCTGGCAAGGGTGGAGATAAGTAGAGTGGAGTTGTACGAAGTGGAGCCACCGATCACCAGATTCAGCTCTACCACACTCTGAGACTCCGACACTGTGTAGCCTATCGCTCCCCAGCTCACTGAGACACCTGGCAGTTTCGTGTAGAATCAATAATGAGAGTACTCTTGAAGGACATACATCATAATACACATAGTCGGTAGTGGGACACTTTCGAGAAACTTTCACAGTACCAGTTTATTTGCCGCAAACCAACAATATAAGAAATTTGTGTTTGCTACCAAAATGCGAAGGTTTTCTCTGTTTCTAAAACATACAGTAGGTTTGTGACATACTGTCATCATCTTCTATTTGGATGGAGGTTGTATCCTGTCCCACACTAACTCCTGCACTGTTGAGAGGGTCGAGAGTGATTTGAACTCTGAACTCTTCTGTGCTCTCTCTGACACTGTCATCCAACAGTTGTAGAGTGAGCTCCCTAGTAGCTGTGTCCAAAGGTCCAAAGACCAACTGTGTCCATAGTGGTTGATAGTCCTCATTAGCTGCACAACACATTTTTAATGAAAATCGTTTGGGGAAAGGGATATATGTAGCGAGGGTGATCAGTATGGGGTGTGTAATGGGAGAATTTATTGACCCCTTCAAAATTTGGTCAATCTCATCCTTCATAAAGTGCAAAGGTAATCATTCTCACAGAAGGGACTGGTAAAGATCCCAATACCACTGTCTCCCAGAGAAGCCTGAGCTGTGAGACTCACCCTTGACTGACATGGAGTCTTAGGAACAGGATGGCATATTACTGCACCAATTACCCACTAAACATAACAGTGCTGTAATACCTGTGGCAGTGACACTGTCTGTGGAAATATTAGCTCGGAAATATGCATCCGTTTGGCCGGTGACTTCCACCACAATCCTAATCAAACCAGCACTCTCAGAGACAGAGTACAAGGGTGTGGAAAATCCTATTTGCACAGCTGCAAAGATACACACACGTATACATTAACCCAGTTTTGCAAACTCTCTTGCTTACTGTCTGAATCCACTACCAGGACTGTGGTCTGTGGCATTGATCCTTCCATTACTATGTCGTCTCCACTGAATAAAACCTGTAACACTCTTAATGAATACCAATTGCTTTGATATTATGGCATCTCACTAGGAATTCTTCGGATTCTTCTCTGATGTCATCATTCACTATGGTGACTGAAACTGATCTTGACGTAACACCAGGTTCAAAGGTCACAATCTCAGTGATTGGCTCAAAGTCTTGGTCAGCTGCAACACAAAAACACACGAGACCTAATGAACGTGAAGCTATGGAAAATGTGTGAATTTTGTGTTAGAGGACCGTTTTGTGAGGGCAGGGCCCATTCTAGACAACAAAATCTGGCCAATCTGGTATATACCTAATTACTGTACCTGTAGCAGTGAGGGGTTGAGTAGACAGTGATACAGACACTGGAATGGAATGGAGACCAGAGAGAAGGAGAGTGATGCTGACCACACCCACTTCCTCGGAGACGGTCACACTTGACAAAGCGAATGAGATCTCCACATCTATTAACATGTGGCCATATCATAAATTCCTTATTGTACGCAAAAGCATTGTAGTCATCAGCCAAAGTACTGATCACACAAAATTATGGACTCTAAGTATATTAGAAGGACCCCATGTATTCAACCCACATATTTTCCCACACTCAGGGAATGGCTCTCTTTCCTCTATGAACCAAAATCAAGATGAAGTAAAATGGTTGCCAGAAGGGGCTAGGCATAACACTAATATCTCAGGCCATATGGAACACCCTAGCCTCGTTCCCGCCAATTGTTGCATGTGACATTTGACCCCCAGACTTAAGCAAAGTGGTAACAACTCCGGGTGGTTGAAAGTCAAATGCAAAGAGAGGGCCTTGGAACAAGGCTAGGAACACCCATAGTGTTTCGAACTCCTATACCCAACCGTCTGTAAGAGTAGAATCCTTGACTTGTATATATCTATGTAGTAAACACGTATCCCCATAAACATTTTTCAGACTGAAGGTCAGTTCAACAAAAAACAGGGACACACCCTCTCCAATAGGAGAGCACTCACAGTCATTGTCGTAGATGGAGATGTTGGCAGTGTCACTACCAGCCACAGTGACTCCAGTCTGAGAGCTGGAGATGGATACAGAGAAGAGCTCTGGGCTAGTCTCCACCACCTCATCATCCAGTATGGAGACCTCCAGGGAGGCCGTGGAGGAGGGGGAGGCCGGGATGGTGAGCAGGGAAGACTCCTCTTGACCTCCCGAAAAGTCTGACGACTCTTTTGGGGGAGCAAGAGGAAGTAACCCAGGGAAATGGTGAACCCATTTCAACATTGGTCCATAACTGCCTACTGTTTCCTCACAATATTATCACCTCAATATTCTGCTGCATATGATTGGCGAGTGAAACATGCCCACCTAGGCACCTCAGTACGGAAGTTTTAAAAATAATATCTGTCACGGTGAACGGGTGAACGGACCAACATACCCTAATATGTGCTAAAACACGTGAAATATTGAAATGCTCGCTAAAATGCGTTTAGTCAAACCTGCCAACAATCCTGGATGATCAGGAACTACCAGAAAAAAATCCCTATGATTTCCAAACTTTTTTCTAGGCAGTGTCTACATTTCGACACAGCTATGAATGTCAACAGTCTCAAGCCCATGGAGTATTATTTAACCTAAAACAGCAGCTTTGCCTTTGTGTATACGCCTCTCTTGGCCTTTACACACACCAGTGTATGAAGGTATATACTCCCTTGATGATGCTACAAAGATAAAGTAGTTTTCCCAAAAAATATTGAAATCTATGTGGTGTGTGCATCACATACCAAGAGCAGTTCCATTCCTGATCTGAACAGAGACTGTTGTAGGTATTGAACTGAGACCAATTCTAGTGATGGTAATCTCCAGGCTACCAGCATCCTCAGAGACAGAGTATGACGATGTAGAGAAACCTATCTGCACAGCTGTAGGCATTATGAATAACACATGTATGATATGCATGCTCCACAACACCATGTAGCAAGTTACTTACTGTCTGAGTCCACTACCAGGACTGTGGTCTGTGGGATTGATCCTTCCATTACTATGTCGTCTCCACTGACTAAAACCTGTGACTATTAATAAATACTAATTGCGTTGATATTATATGGCATCTCACCAGGAATTCTTCGGATTCTTCTCTGATGTCATCATTCACTATGGTGACTGAAACTGATCTTGACGTAACACCAGGTTCAAAGGTCACAATCTCAGTGATTGGCTCAAAGTCTTGGTCAGCTGCAACACAAAAACACACGAGACCTAATGAACGTGAAGCTAAGGGAAATGTGTGAATTTTGTGTTAGAGGACCGTTTTGTGAGGGCAGGGCCCATTCTAGACAAAAAAATCTGGCCAATCTGGTATATACCTAATTACTGTACCTGTAGCAGTGAGGGGTTGAGTAGACAGTGATACAGACACTGGAATGGAATGGAGACCAGAGAGAAGGAGAGTGATGCTGACCACACCCACTTCCTCGGAGACGGTCACACTTGTCAAAGCGAATGAGATCTCCACATCTAGTATTAACAAGTTGACAAATCACACACCACTTCATATATTGTGGTTTAGCATGTTCTCTAGCATTATAATTATGTCATCCATGTATAATAGTAGTGTGCCATACTACAATACTTTTCCTTATTACCCCGTGTGGCCTGAGTTCATCAATGTCACTGTCGCACACAGAATATTTTGTTTGTAGCTAACTTACTATTGAAATTCTGTAATCCCAGCTTAAAGTTGCAGCAACTTCCACAGTATTGGTACAATGGGTCCAGGCAACTAGTAGTTGCCAGAAATAGATGGCTAACGAAGACACACCTTTTGAAATTGTGGAGCTCTATGTTCAGTGAGCTGGCCACTTGTGACTTATTTGTGACAACTGGTTGCCTGGCCACACCATACCAATACTTTAGAAGTTGCTGCAACTTTTGTTGAAGAAACGAAGTTGCCGGGTGTAGGGCCTGCTTTATGTTTGCCGCTAAAATGAGTAGTACTAGAGTATGATTGCTTATAACTAGTTTTGCAATGGTTAGCAATAGAGAGGGTGACATAGCGACTCACAGTCATTGTCGTAGATGGAGATGTTGGCAGTGTCACTACCAGCCACAGTGACTCCAGTCTGAGAGCTGGAGATGGACACAGAGAAGAACTCTGGGCTAGTCTCCACCACCTCATCATCCAGTATGGAGACCTCCAGGGAGGCCGTGGAGGAGGGGGAGGCCGGGATGGTGAGCAGGGAAGACTCCTCTTGACCTCCCGAAAAGTCTGATGACACTGTGGGGAGCAATAGAGAATAATGTTTGCACCCTGTGCATAGAAACCTTGGGGGTAGCTACCAACAGTCCTTGAATTCCCTGAATTGTCCGGAATCGTTCCTGTCTTGTGGGGTTCAGGGAAATGGATATCGTTGCACAACATAATGCTGTTCAAAATTCACACTTCTATAACACCATTTCAGATCCGGTTGGCTGCAAAATAACTGCACTAAATGGAGCCTATGAAGTCTCTAGCTATAGGCACATTATCTGCTGTGCTGGGCAAACCTTTGTACATTTACTTGGATCGGACGATGCGCAATTATCTTATTCAGCGAAATTCGGCAAATCCAAGATACTTAGCAAACTGTAAGTTAGATTTTGGCAATTATACATACATATGTATGCTTGAGGTTGAAGCTGCGTACAGATATACGTATGTATCTATAGTACATAATTGTACTACACAATAAATGTACTACAAAATTGTACGTACCAATAGCTGTTCCACTCTGTATCTGAACGGAGACTGTCACAGGTATGGAGCTGAGACCGATTCTAGCAACGGAGACCTCCAGGCTACCAGCATCCTCAGAGACACTCAGTGCACAGACCTCACTGGAAAACTGGACCATAACTTCATCGTCATCAGTGATAGTGATATTGGCAAAGGAGTTGCCATCGTAGGTGGCTCCAGGACCAATGTCGAGGGAGAGTAAGAACGTCTCGGTGTCCTCCAGGACACTGTCATCCTCAATGACCACCACCACCTCTTTCTGAGTCTCCCCCGATGAGAACTGGACTTCAAGACTGTCCCGGAATGAGTAGTCAAATCCAGCTGTTAGAGGAAGATGGCAAACTTGATGAAATGAGATTCGTAGGTCCCTCTAGAACTTTCAGCATTATGAGCTTTACTTGTGGTGAATAAGTTAGTGAGAGTGGTGTTGGTGCAAAATTATTTGCAAAGGCCGTCACAGGGAGTGAAATATGCTTACATATGTCAATGACAATGAGATAGTGTGTGACATTAATTTTACCTAAAGCAGTCATTGGTTCAGCCTGTAGACTGGCAGAGATGACCCTCTCGTTGCTGCCAATCTTCTCAATCACTACCGCCACCTCCCCATCTCCTTCACTCCAGGTGTAGGCAGTGGAGCCCAGTCGAACTATAACAGCTGGCAAGATAAAAGGATAAACATTGATGATGTAAGACGTATAGATAAACATCGATGATTTAATACGTATAAAATGTATATAGGTTACTCAGTATGGTGAATGTAGATGTAGGTTGCTCAGTATGGAGACTAATACATGTTGAACATTGGTCGAGTGAATTCTAAGTTTGAGAGTTGATTTCACATGTAGTATCTCGTAACAGACCACAACACGACTCAAAGTCTTACAGCAACACAGTATTATACTTACTATCTCTATCTCTGACAGTGATGGTGGCCTGTGCCTGGCCTATCCCCACTCCCCCCTGGGTGGCCGGTATGGAGAGAGACACAAAGAACGACTCCTCATCCTCTGCTATGATGTCATCCATCAGATTGACTGTGGTGGTCAGTGAGGTTTGCTGGGCAGAGAAGGTGATGACCCTGTCACTGACTGCCGTGAAATCTCCTGGAGCTACAGGGACACAACGTTTCACTGCTCACCACAATTGTTGCATTGTAGTGATCCGATACTACAGTGGAACCTCCAATAAAAGACTCTCCGAGATAGGGACAGCCTCTCTACAAATTAGGACACTTGTTTCAACCCTATGCTAACTTTAGGACGTCTGAGATAGGGACAGCCTCTCTACAAATTAGGACACTTGTTTCAACCCTATGCTAACTTTATGACGTCTGAGATAGGGACGGCCTCTCTACAAATTAGGACACTTGTTTCAACCCTATGCTAACTTTAGGACGTCTCAGATAGGGACGGCCTCCCTACAAGGGACAAAATTGTTGGCCCAATTGTTGGGATGTTCCACTGTAATGTCCATGGGCATGCAAAGCAGGGGGAAAAAGGATGTGCATATACATTATTGTAATCAAACGCATGTTACATGTATGTGGTTTTATCCAGACAGTGGATTTGCACTATGTGGCTATTCACTCTTAAAATCAATGAGCACTGTGTGGTGTCTGTGGTACGGTTGTCCCTACCAGAGGCAGTGCCGGTCACAGTGGACAGCAGGACCTCAACTGGTAGCTCAGTCTCTCCTGACTTGACCAGCTGCAGTGTCACCTCGCCATCCTCCTCAGACACCACGTAGGACGATTGAGACAGACTGACGGTCACCTCTGTGGAGAAACATACCATTGTGCATGATTATATGTCACAACACTACCAGTTCTGATCTAAACCACTGTTGGCTGCACACTGAATTTGATCAGCTGCCTGTGTATACATCAATGGCAGCGCACATGTAGTACGTATGTATGGTATGAACTTTTATGAAATTAATGCCAGTGATGGGTTTTAGGCTCAGTTTTGATATAACAAGTAACTATGATTTCTTGTAATGTGGATCCAGCGTGTGACTATCACCAGTGCATTTTGCACAGAACACTGCATGTTGTACTTTATTGCTCTCGAATGATTAATAACATACTACATAACTCACCATCATCATCAGTTATAGTAACACTGGCTGTGGCTGGTGAAGCAATATTAACTCCTTGCGTTCCATCTGCTACGGTCAGAGTTAGGGTAAACTCTTCATCCGCCTCCATGACATCATCATTGACCAATGGGATTATTATATACTGACTGCTAGATATGGGTTCAAAGGCCAACAGCAAGTCCTGCATTAGATAGTCATTCCCACCTACATTTGTGTTAAAGTGTTTGTAAAGTTTGATTTAGCACAGAGTTGTAGCTTTTTACCTAATGCAGTTCCATCAGACGATTGAAGTGTGACCGATGCAATGAAATTTGTAGTGCCAACTTTGTTCACTGTCACATTAAGGAAGCTGTCTCCTTCACTGATGGTATAGCTCAAGGCGGAGAATGAGATGTTCACACCTAGTGGATGGAGAAAGCCGGAAGAAAGAGAGGCAGATATAGGGAAGATGAAAAAAATGCATGTAAGACGTAGTATGCACACTTTCAAAAAGCCGTTGATCACGTTTTGAGCAATCCTGTATATCACCTTTTTCCACGTGTAAACCGTAGTTACTCACTTTCAAAAAGGTCTCAGCTTGTAGTTGCCAGCTTATTAATGTACGTAACTTACTGTCATCATCTATGATGGTGATGTTGATGGAGTCACTTGTGAGGATGACCCCGTTATTAGTGGTTCCACGGAGATGTCCAATGAACCACTCACTTCCCTCCACAACAGAGTCATCAACCAACACGACTGGCACTGTCATAGTTGACTCGGCCGTAAACTCAATCACTTGAGAGAGCCCCTGGTAATCACCTCCTTCTATGAGTGTTACAACAATACCACATAATTTCCGTGCATAGTTAATCGAGAAGTAAAATGTTTCAACTGCTAACGTGTAGGTATGTACGGAAATTCTTGCATAAAGTTCTTGTGTGTACTTATGTGTCATAGATACGTACATCTCTCCACTTTAACTGAAGACATACATACTTGTTGGATATCCCTAGGCAACTGACACGTATGAAGCTAGGTACTGGGGAGTTTTATGAGCATATACTATCCTGCGCAATGTAAGGTGGGTTCATACATGTCGGTTATATCCAACAAATGCAGTGCCCAGACAGGACAGCATTCGCCCATACAGGGCTCATGCTGTCCTGTCTGGGCACTGCAACATATACATACATACATACATAAGACACCATGCATGAGCTGGAAGAGCATCTGTAAGATTGTATGTATGACCTGTGGCCGTGCCACTCTCCAGAAAGACCTCGACGAAGGTGGCTCCAGAGGCCGTGATGTCTATACCAACGCTCCCTGCTCCCTCACTCACAGAAATATTCATGTCCACAAACCCAACCTCCGGATCTGAAATAGAATGTTGTTCACATTATGACTGTGAGCTACAGCTAGCTATAGAACAGCAGCTCACAGTTGCATCCAGTGGCAGAGCCAGTGTGAATATTTTGGAAGAACCTGCAAAAATGAATGCGACATGCTAATTTTGCGATTGCCAATATTATGTATTATACACTAGCTATTAGACACTCATATCTACAGCTGTAGCAAATGTCTGTTGGGCCATATTTATGGCATCAACCTGCATCTTCTGTTTGTCATGGGTCACTAAATTCGTAAGCTACAATCCATAGACAGTCCCAAAATGTATCCATACAGTGGGTGTGTTCCTTCCCAGTAAGACGTCTATACCAACTCACATAGTGTCATCCACAGTTCCCTGAGCAGCAGAGTCTGAGGCTACCAGTGGTGTCTGCACACACTCGAGTCTCTCGTCACTCCACACACAGTATGGATCCCTCGACCCCACACACTCACTGCAGGAGAGAGAGAAAGTCAGTCATCTATTCACCCCTCTTACGTATGCTCTCTATTTTATACATGATATACCTGAACTCACTCACACACACTCAACATGTAACCTATCCGTGCCAGCGTTTACATGCTCAACATCACCCATCCATCTTTTATGTAGATACAATGTACACCTCTAGAGGTCTTAGTCTGCATGGTCACACATGTAAGCGTATAGATATAGGGTAGGATTATGAAAGACTTTCTGTGTTGGTGTAGGCATCTTCTTGTTCCCCCTCTTTTTTCATGACGTAGCATCCCTATAAATTGACTTGTGTACATATAGTACATGAGGCTAAACGTCTAGAATGGGATTTCCCTTCATCAGCCTGCCCAGTGGAGCTGGTGTACAGGAATGTAGCCTTTCTTTCGACCACCAACAAACACGCTAGACCTCAGGCAATGCATCAATTTAACAGAGCTTTTAACCCCAATCACAGGCATTAAGGCTACAGTGCTATCTACTTCTACTGTACATCTGTCATATGCACACTGCACGTACTTGCACACTGTATAGATTGGTGCTCGTGCCAGTGCCAAATGCACTCAAAAAGGCATGTACTCTTCTATGCATTACCCACTTGAAGAGAGTACTGATTGGCACCACACAGCATTTACAACACACACACATACACACTGGCTAGTATAACGTATGGTATACCTGCAGGTGTGAAGCCTTGAACATCTGTGCAGTGGGAGGCTGTAGATCTTGGACCAACTACTGACATACAACCTGTCACTGTCCTCCTGAAAACACAAGTCAAAACTTTGTATAGTTCTTTACCAAACACGTAGCTATATGTGTACCTTTTTGGCCATCTTTGTGATTGCATTCTCATCATCCAACTGCAGGATAAGCAATTCAGCCACACTCATTAAGCTACATGTCTACTGTGTTATGAATGTGCCACGTATGCGTAAACCCAGGGGGAAAACATGTAAATCACTTGTATATATTATGTAGCCTATGCATGTGTACTGTGGATGGTGTGCCACCAAACAAAAGGTCCAGTGTTCTATGTAATTCCAGTATTGCCATCTTTTGTTTTTTCCCAACTGTTTTTTATAATGGTTTATAGTCATCCAAGCAGAATGCGTTATAGCTAGCAGGTCCGTGTACAAACCTCGATATCTTCAACAATGACTGGTTCAATATCTCCATTCTCATCCGTTGCAAACACCACCTTCAGCACATGGCCAGAGTCTATCAATAATAGAGCCAGGAGGTAACCCACAGGACACTACTAGGATAATGGCTGACCTAATCCAAGGAAGAGGACATCCTGATTGACACATGTGGAGCTAGTGTCTCTGGTGACAACACAGACACTGTCCTGCACCATCTGAGTCACACTGAAAGACAGAACATGCAATTGGAGAGAATGTGGCAATTATGTTCATGGTATATACATACATGACATTTTCGAGCATGAGGATAGGGTCATCCCCAATTTGTTCCACGGAGACGTCAGGGTTAATGAACAGGAGCTGCTGGTCACTCTCAGGGCGACCTTCTGGGTCACACTGCAGGGAGTCAGTTATGACAGTGGTAGATACAGTACAGAGGTGTGCCCATTGTTGACACACTCAACCATCAAATTACTGTACATCACATGTGTGTAATTATGGATCTTTGATATTCAGATACCATTAAGAGTATTCATGATGAACACATCCCTAGTCGACTAAGGTTAATTCTGATTCCTGCATGAGAGGATTCATGTGCAGGTACAACTACATGTGACTCCCCCCACACCTCAAGGAAGGTGTTTTCCAGTGCTGTAGTTTCCACGTCGTTCGCCACATCTTCTCTGAATATGTCAAACACACTCTTAGTACGACCCGCACCTGTTGGTACGCAACATATCATTGGGCTCATGAATGAGGTGATATGTAATGTATAGGGTGCACCTGCTGAGCTCTCTACTGAGTTATCAGCAGGATAAACACAGATAGCAGAGCCTACTGGTCCATTTCTGCAGAGAGCAAAAGACCAAACATTACGTACATGTGAACTTCACACATACTCCCCCCCCCCCTTCTTTCTTTCTCTCTCTTTCCTCCATGTGTCTCTTAGTCTCATAATTATTCCCAGACCCTGCCCTCAGGAGAAGAAATGGGTCTAGTGACTATTTGTTCCCTGTGCTACAACACACACATACACGTACACGCACCCTGGTCCAGTAAATGACCCGTACAATAGCCTCTTTGGAGGTGAAGTGTTGCTGTAGTAGCGACTCTCCTGACTGAATACAAAACTAGCTGCATTGAGAGAAGGCAGTTTGGCAAATAACTCAACCACCAAGGGAACAGAGTATGGTAAACTCACTGATGCTGTTGTACTCATAGTTCAGTGTGTGGATTGAATCAAAACTGGCCGGTTTACTCCTCTCACAGAAGATGCGTGCCTTCATGAACGTGGTGAAGTAGGGAGATCCGTTTGACGTGCTGGTGGAGCCCGGGTCATTGCGACACACTCTCGCCAGCCGTGAGTAGATGATGTCGTCTGTAACCAGCTTCTCACGGAGGAATATGAACCAGAACTGGTAGTCCTCTTCTAGCCCTGTCGAAGATGGTGTGGGTGAGTAGTCGGCTTTCTCTGCCCCGACAAACACCACAGGGAACCGTAGCCAGTTGTTGTTGGCGTTAATAGTCTGGAACAGGTTGTCCGTGCCCAGCGTGTCGGGGTCGGAGGGCATTGTCAAGGTGATGTTTTTGTAGGAGATGCTGAAGTGTCGGCCGGCCCCGGAGTCCCCGGGGAAGAAACCAGCAGACAGGTAGACTGGGTCAGAGTCTGTGGCTGGTGGTATACACAGTATACATGGTCCAGATGAAACGAGTCAAACACACAAAATCTTTAACACACACAGGAACTTACTTAGTTTTACTGTATTAACACACATCACCCCTCAATTACACTTTGAAACCAATTGCTAAAAGTTGCCTCTTTTTGTGCATACAATTTCTGAAGTCTCCGAACTGGGTGAACTCGGGGTAGTATGAGATGATTCCATCTGATGCCACCTCTCCGTCCCCTCCTGTGGCTGAGAGTCCATCTCCAGATATGCCAACTCCTGTAATCATACAAGTAAACTGTCCACCAATCGTCCTGCACCATGGCAGGTGCCTGATCATGAAGAGCGAAACCATAACATTACTTAACCAGAAATTATAGAAGACACCTGTGGTTGACAATTATAAGTGAAACGTGTATGTAAAAGGAATGCCTAAAAATTAAGTACCTGTATGACACAATTTTCATTAATATGCTGTATATTACCTACATCATGCAGGAATTGTATACTAGTCTACAGTTGACATCTGTATACATAGGTAATAGAAACCTTGGCAGCGAGGCTCAACTCCAGCACATGTCCCACACACCAGCAGTATGTCCTGGCCTGGGACTCTCTGGTACACTCTGATATGGTTGTGGCAGGCTAACCCCTACACATCAACAGTGCAACACAGTCAATATTTATACATTGCCATACATCACCCATGTTTTTCTCCATAATAACATAATTATGGCATATGTTCAAAGTACATGTTTACTCATGGAGATCTGGAGTAGCATAGCTAATAATCAACACCTGAGTAAAGGACCATGGCAAAAATATCCAGAGCGACATCAGGCTTTATTACTGGAAGTCAAATGCACCAGTAAAAGTGAGAACTAGCCTTCTTTTTCCATCTAACTGCTGGATAAAGCTACATTGTTTTCCTCCCCTTCGATGTGCAAGCTGAATATCGTGTAAAATACAGGTTCCATGATTCATGCCGCTCTCTCTCTCTGTTGCCATTACTGGATTGTCAGAGCGATCACTGGCGGTGCAGGTGTCAATGTTGGAGGTGGAGGTGGGAAGGGTGAGAGCTGTGTCCTCGGTAAGGTCGGGATTCAGCAGGTACAGGGTGTCTCTGCACAAATAACACACACCACCAGTCACATGCACGGTTGTTGATTTTACTATGAGCTTGTGTAGGCTTCCTAGCCTGACTGGCTTCATTGCTATTGAGCAATATTATTCTGTGATGTGTGTGCATCTTATTCACCGTTCAGACTATTCCACAAGACATGTAACAAAGCAAATGTGTATGGTGTACTTGAACACATCATGGTGTCACACTATGTGTTAGCTCACTACTTACGCTGCTCCAATGAGAAGTTTCCCTGGTATTGCTTGGAGGTTGATGTCAGATATAAAGTAATTGTAATCTTCAACAGCAACTGAAGTCTCATCAGGAAATCGGGTAGAATTACCAGTTTCTACAGGGTGGTGTAGTGATAGCTAGTGAGAAGTCTAGCTAGCCTCCCTGCAGTTAGTGGTAATGCAGATTTTTTAATACCCTATCGAGGATATTTTCTTCATTCTCAGCATGATAAATAGTGGTGATCTGCGTTTTTTCACGAGCTGTACTAGCCTTCGCACAGCAGCAGGCCAGCAGCGCAAAGCATCCACTGAGCCGCGCCCCCACAAATCCGCTAAAGACTCACCGTTGTAAGTGACAGGGGACGTGTTGAGATGTACAGCTACGAAAGAACCCCTGACGACTAGAGGAATACACAGACACACGACAGAGACAAATGACACATCCATCTCTACAGCGCTGAGAGGGGCAGTTCCGGCGCGGTTTTTTTTGCACGCGCTGCCAGTAGTTTACGTGGGCGGGGCACACTTCCGCGCGTGACAAGGACACCGCATAGAGCTCTTTTGCAATTTTCACCGCAAGAGTCGTCGTAAAGGAAATCACCCCCACATTCATTTTCATTGGAAATGACCTACAAGCCTGCCCCCGTGGTAGTTGCAGAGCACACCACATGCAGCAGAAGCTTCTGCACAAGCATTTACTAGCAGTCAGTTATTCTTTATAGTGTGCCCAACTAGCACATACACAACTTTTTTCTGTCATAACAACATCATCACTAGCTACAAAATATGTTATGTTGGTTGGCAGTTCACCAGAGAACACATTTCTTAGGAGGATTCATACGAGACCCACTTGGACATTCGAAAGCCTCGGAGAATAGTTCATTGTTTGACAGAGTTCCAATGATCCTGCACACACGATTTCAAACAGAAATAAAGTTGGAAAAAAGGCAGTAATGTTGGGTTTGTAACGATTTCTATATAGGTGCTTTTTCTGAGGTGTCCTTAGGAGTCAGAGGTAGATGACACCACGCAATGAAGTGAAACGATGACGGAAGACAGATATGGAACAAAACAAGAATAACACTAAGGTGGCAGAAATGTGTCTGAAGAAAGGACTGTGCAAATTGTCCTTGTAGTCTAGAAACAAGTGCCTCTTGCACAGAGGTGTCTTTATTTTGAGAAAACGTCCCCCTCTGTGTAAATCTGAGTTTACCAAGAAAAGAGCTAACCTGAACGGTCCTGGAGAGTGCTCATCAGTTAGCACAGAAATCAAGAAGGAGAGGTAAGTTGAATATAAACACCAAAGCTACAAAACAATAGAGAGAGCAGATAGGTTTTTGATGGGATGGCAAGCTTTATGCACCTGTGAAAATCCAATAAAGAACAGTTGGTCATCAGAGTAATCAGTCAGTCCAGGCAGTTTTTCGCTCTTATGTGAAACTTTCTTAAATGCCTGTCAATGAACAACTTGACCGTTAGTCTGCATAGGAAAAATTTAGCTCTTACATCATAGCTTGCTCTGATTCCACCATTGTCTGCAATATTTTCTCCAAGTGTTTGATTTCCGTTGACCTGCGTAGTATAAAGTTGCATAATGGTATAATTTTATAGATGTTATACAACCTTCCAGGAAAAGGGAATAATACTTACTGATATTCCAAACAGCTCATATTGAGAGTATTGCTCCACAAAACACTGAGCTCTTTCCTTGAATTTATCTACTGCCTCCTTACTCCACCACATTCTCTTCCGACCATTCTTATCGTACTGACGACCTGTACAGGGCGCAATGAATTACATAACATTGGGTAAGAAAGTACCATGTAACCTGATTCGATAGCTGCGCATGCGCGTTACCGGTAGTTGATGGGCTAGGCCTATTAGCGTTTACTCGTGGTCTCTCGCTAGTAGCTCGCGGAGAGTGTGACAAGGGCTAGCTACACTAGATATATAGCATGAAGAAGTTGATACTCGTCCTGCGTTGTAACTTCTGGTGCCTCCAAGGTGCGTAGAGCAAGCGGATCTGGTTGAGGTTAGCCTGTGCTAATTTGCTTATTGCCATTTTTGGTTTTCACGCCATAACTCTGGAACACAGTACTTTTATCAAATTTAAAATCAAGATCTATCATGCATCTATGACAAACGGAATACCAATATTCTCAAATCCATGAGTAAGTTCAGTGGGGAATTTAGATAGCTGTTGTAGGATGCATGGACAGTGAAATGTTTACCATTATTGTCAAATCCGTGAGTAAGTTCGTGTCCCAATACCATCCCAAGAGCACCATACTGCACCGACCTACAAACATCAGTGTAAAACATAAAATAATTTGACCAACAGTTTCCTTACAGTGGCCACTCATCACTAAAAGACGGAGTCCGCATTATAGCCTCAAGAATTGCTGTAAGGTATATACAAATCTATCACCTACTGCATGTCTAACGAAATTGACTCCTTACATATTTGATTGAAGACTGCTATGTAATAAGCGTTTACTGAAGTAGGGTCATCCAGCCACCTGCACAGAGGAAAAAAAAAAATGAAAAGCACTGAAGTGCAAACCCTCAGCGCATTGTGACGGGCACGCGTAAGTAAACGTTTAGCGCGGTCTCTTGCCAGCTCGCGCAGAGTCTGACACAGTCTAACTACAATACTAGGTTGCATGCGAGAGGCGATACACGCCCTGCGTTTCATATTCTGGTGCCTCCGAGGTACGCAGAGCACGCGGATCGATCAGACCTCGGTAAGCCATCCCGTCCGCTGTGTATTTGCATATTTGCGCTCTAGTTTTGCAACGGAGCAGTTTCAGAGAAAACCGTTCGAAATTTCTGACCTTCATTGCCCGGTAAGTAGGTCATATCCTTTGTGAGACGAACAAAGTAGAGTAACAGACACACAAACACACTCTCACAGATAGACGTACTATCGCTGCGCATGCGCGCCGAGGGCATGCTATTCTGACATACATGTTTCTGTCAAGAGGCTTGTAGATGAGTGAAAACTGCTGACGTAAAGAGATGTTGATGAACTCCAAGTAGTTTTCAACATACTGGCCCTTGTTAAACTTGTACTGTAAGAAATTTTGAAGTAGCACAAGAGCTTTATTCCAGTGGAAAATGAAGTGCAAACCCTCCGCGCATTGTGACGCGCACGCCATACCACTAATTGATGGGCTGGGTTTAGTTTTAGCTGTTACTCGTGGTCTCTTGGCAGCTCGCGCAGTGTGACGCGGGCTAACTACACTACTAGATAGCATGCGAGAGGCGATACACGCCCTGCGTTACACATCTTCTGGTGCCTCGAGGTAAGCCGTTGTGTATTTGCATATTGGCTTTTTGCAGTTTCAGAGAAAACCGTTCCAAAATTTTGACCTTCATTGCCCGTTAAGTAGGTCGTGTCCTTCGTGAGACGAACAAACACCCGAGAAGTGAGATGTAGAGTAACAGACACACACACACACACACAGCAGATACCCTCGTTGCGCATGCGCGCCGAGGATAATTACCATTCCGTAGAGCATATCCAGAAAGCTGTCATTGAATGTCATATTTGGGTATGCAACTCTTGACTGAATGGCTTCCAGCTAAAAAAAACAGAACTCTTTCACTACTGCACTCTAAATCGGCAGGGGGTCACCTTCTCAATGGACAGTTTCCTGGTCTCATCATCCAGCCAGTCAACATCAATCATCCTCTGTTTGAGACCTGCCCTTACTCCAGCCACCAGCTCAACACCAGCCTCCTGCAGTAGGCAACACCTCAACAGACATCCCTACATTGTACTTTATCAAGCAGCTTAGCTGCATAACTCAATAACGTTGTGCGGAATTATACACTTTGCAAACCAGATAAAACACGCACATACTCAACTGACTTTGTAACCATCAGGGAGAAGGTATTGAGCATACACTCTACCCAGAGCCAACGGGAGCATTTGTTCCACAATTTGGACACACTCTTGTTGCTGGTCCATGGACGGTTTCCCCAGTACCAGCTGTCTAAAGAGAATCAGACTCTCTCTGATGGTGGTGTCTGGGACAAAGATCTCAGCCAACTGCCACGTCATGCTCCACTTGGCATAGTTCTCCAGAATTCTACAGGGTGGTGGAGATGTGAATTTTGAATCCTAAAGAGTTTAAGTCACCTCATGGATACGGAAAATCTAGGCACCCTATTCTAAATCAAGGCCTGACTGTCACAACTCAAAGTCCAACATACTCATTGTCAATGTTCTCCACTAGTTCAGTCAACCGTCTGAAGTATTCGGGAGTTCTCACAGTCACACTAGAAGAGAGTTTGATGTCTACTCCTGATGGCCCAAGAACTCCATTTAACACTCCTAGCCAGTCATGCTATATTATAGAGAGGATTCATTTGACATTGGACACTGCATGCAGAAAGGTTTATAGAGCGATAGAAACGTACGTATGGCCACAGTTTGTAGAGCTCTTTAACTGTGTAGGTATTGTTTGTGCCATCTTCGTCATCATTAAAGGTAGTGTCTTCCCAAATCTGAACAAAACATTGTCACACAGATAAACATAGTTTAAGCCATGAAATAACACATTTTACGTCTGCTCCGCTTGTATTGTTCTATTTCTGTTCTGTTATGCCATACAGTCTCTGTTAAATTAACAGATGATACTCACGTACTTGTGCCAGGGCATATTCAAATTCCAAAGCAATAGGGTTCTGAGCCAGTTCCGTCAGAATTATCTCTATCTCATACAGCAACACGTCCGTCTAAAGTATACATTGCAGTACGCATTATAACAATCATTGAGAAAGAGATAAACACACTGAGTTGGTGTCATTGTACAATTGTGGATCTTCAAGACTTAGCCCAGCTTGCTCGATCTGTGCAGAGAAGAAATGTTACACAATAACAGTCACAGGTAAGATAGAGTTTCTTTACTCACAAACCAATGAATACTGGCGAGCATCTTCGTCAAACCCAACACTGAGACTGTAGAATGCATCGCTCCCTGTCATTTTCTCTCTAATGAACTGGGAGCTGTTGACACTCCACACCGTTCCATCGCCAGATATATTCACCAAACTCCACCCACCTGTACGTATAATAAGATGTATTCTGGCATGGGTTAAATTGTCATTAATTTGCACCCTATCACTCACAGGTCGAGCCATAACTACACTCATGAACAGTGAGTAGTCTTCAGCATGCAAAAATCTGCCCTCCCATGATTTCATTATTTCACTCGAGGTAATCGCTGTAGGAGTACGTACCAAGCTGTTGGTAAAAACTTTCTAATGATGGGCACAAGACGATCGACAAATTCCGTCTCATTCATCATCTGAGCGGTGATGCAGGAGTCATAGAAGTTTGACAGCTGGGTCAGGACCTTGTTCCCTCCTGTGAAATCTGTCTCCAGAACCTCAGCCAAGTCACTGTACACCGCATACTGCTGCCCTTCTAGTGCTCCTGTCCCATACAGACCTATAGATGAGTTTGGAACAGTGAGTACAAAAACAGCTGGCTGATGGCTCAGTAGAGGGTGTAACCGTAAATTTACATAACTAACATAACAATTTCATAGGTGTTTGCATTCCTTATTAATGATGCGTGGCCTGGGTCATATGACCCATCCATGATTTTTAGGGTATGCTGCCAGACCATGGACACTCATGACTCACTCACGACTCAGTAGCGGCTAATTCTATTATTCCCCTGATTTTCCGTGTAGCTATATAATTATAGACATTGCCAATCACCGTAGCTAGCATTTTGCGTAACACAAAAATTGAACGAGGATTTCAAAGGACAGTGTGAAGTTCTCTGAACATGGAGGATTTCGAATGTTGATTTTTATTATTTTTTTAATACCTCCCGGTATTTCATCTAACTGTGCATGCACATGCGCATACTCAGTTGGGAGTTGGGCGTCTTTCGCCAGGGCAGCTCTTCTTCTTTTCCTTCAAAAGAAAGAGCTGTCCTGGGTGTAGTTGACTTGTTTGCTTTGCCTTGCCTTGCCTTTCTACCTCACTACCTAGTTGTTGAAACATGCAATGAGTCATCTGGGAATATTATTGAAGTGGAGTGAACATTGCAGGTGCATTTAAGCAGGCTTATTATTATACACTCACTCTTGCCTGCCAAACATTCTCTGCATTACTTTTCAGTATAGTACTCTGTCTAACCATTCAGATTTCATAACTCCGTAAAACAAACGTTAACCTGTATATACCAGCTACCAGGGACACCGACGAGATTCCCAAAATATGCTGGAGGAACACCTCAAAACCTGTGGATCAGGTTGTAGCAGTATAGTGTTGGTGGCAAGAAAAACCAGCCTTGCGCTCTGCTTCTAGGAATGTTCACAATGTGTACATAGTTGCTGCATAGATGTATACTAACACTCCCTCCCACAACCTGCGTGTTTCTACAGTCTGTAGTGTATAGTGTTCCCAGTAAATCCCCAGTGCCCTACAGACACCCCACAGGTAGTGCAATTTGCTGCATCGTGCATGACCTGAATGTGCACCAATGCACCTCATCCACATGCACACAACTCGAGATGCTCTCTCCCACAACTTCCCTGTTTCTATAGTTTGTGTAGGTGAATGGTAGTGAAGTTGCTACAGTGTAGTGAGCAATTTGCTTGACCTGAATGTGCACTAATGCACCTCATCACACTAACAAAGGGCATGCATGTGGCGAGTTACCTTCAGGGATGTGGTTGAAGGCCGGCCAGTTACCGCAGGTGAAGTTGTAGAAGTCCTCACAGGGATCAATGCTCTCATCCATGGCCCCCTTGATCTGCACTGCCAGATCCAGGCAAGCCTCACTCACACACACATTAGGTGTGGGGGTAGGAGTAGGGGAGGGAGATGTTGCTGCTGAGGAAGAAGATGATGAAGATGTCACTGCTGAAGAAGAAGAGGATGGAGATGTGTTGAGCGCGTACAGCACCACAAAGACCACAAAGAGTGCTGTTGCTGCAAACAGGAGGACCAACAGTAGGGCAATGCATATTCTTGGCAAAATCGATCTTTTCGGGCGGTAGATGTCGAGGTCAGGTGCAGCCCCATCCGTACCGTCTGCCCTCGACGTCATCACGATGTAGCCCGGCTTCATTCTGCAGTCAATGTGCACAATGACATAAACCACCTTCTTCTCTGCACCGCTGCTAGCACATGCATGCATACAAGGCTGAATTGCAACTGGCTAGATAGCTAGTCCTGCGGCTTACGTGAAACAAGCGTGTTTTCCCGCTCTAGTGGTTTCTGCAGAATGGGGCGGCTATCTACTGAACGGCTACGAACGATGGCAACCGAAATTCTCTAGTCTCTCGCTCAGTTCGCGCTCCTATGGCAAGCCGTTTGTAAAAAAAATTCGACCGTACATATAATTATACACAGACGTCCCTCACGTTCTAACGCTTGTGCTCTCTCACGATAAGCGCTGGCGTATACGCTAGGCCTGAGCGCAATCTGTTCGGTCTTTCCCCTGTTTTTCATTCCTATTTTGCTTGCCTATTTTAATTTTCCCCCACTACTGAGATGAAACTCAGGTGAACTTCATGATACAAAACATAAGAGAAGCTTCTAGCTATAATATAGTCCTTTAGAGCGAATTCTTGCCTTTCAGTGAAGGTGAAAAGACCTGCTCAGATGCAGCTGATGATAGCTGTATGTAGCTACCTTGCGAGCTGTGTAGCAGGCCGCACTTAGCTTAGCGCATTCCACTTACGCGGGTCAGCCAGCAAGGAGGCACTGCATGGAGGCCTTGGCAGTGGGGAACACAACAGGCTGAAAGTGGGTGTGACATCATTGCAGTAAGCCTGAGCACTGGCTCTGGCCCTTTGAGGCAGATCGTCTACGCAACATCCACCCGGCCTTTACAGCTGAAATAAAGATCGATCAAAAGACTTATAGAAAATTCAACCCTCTGAGAAGAGGCTGCAGGGGAGTGGGGTTGATGTGGAGAAAGGAAATCAATGCAACGGCTATCTCTTCAATATCCAGTGATCGCATTTGTGGTCGTCTCCTTGTGAAGCCACCTCACCCCAGTGCAGCTGATATCACCATTATTGGAGTGTACCTAGCTTGTTCAGACATGGGCATGGAATGTTACACGGAGCACCTTATAGAATTAGAAAGAGTTGTATCTGAACATCAGCACTCTGGTCCGGTGGTAATCATGGGAGATTTCAATGCCCATCTAGGCGTTCTGGGTGGTGTGAGAGGTATTAGCGAACCTAACCAACAGGGGATACTCCTCCACCAGCTCGTCACTCGCTGCAATCTTTACGCTGTGTCACACTCATCCCTCTCCCAAGGCCCTCAGTATACATTTCAGAACAGCGCGTCACAAACCCACAGTTGACTACATACTTGTCAGCCACGATACAACAGAATACATGTTGCAGTGTTTTATACATGACCCCGCTCCTCTGAACACCCTCAGGAGCAGTTGACCAAAAATAGAATACATTGGACCAAGGCTCTCAAAGGCACACATCTGCGCGGCTATCAGAAGAGTGTATCATCTTTTGTGGCCCCTCTCATCGGTCGATCGTATAGCTCTGCTGAGGAGATAAACGACGAAATAACTATAACGTTTCAGAGAAAATTTGCGATCGCCCGCTCTACAGTCTCTTCCACTGCGCAAGAGCTCAGTGAAGGAAAAGAAATGGTATTAAGATCAGACTCTTTCTCGTGTTGCTTCTGCAAGGAAAGCAGCCTGGGACAAGTGGTCTGCAAATGGTCGCCCAAAGGAGGGCCCCCTCTATGACGCAAAATAAAAACAAGAGCTGAATTCAGAAAGAGGATGAGAGTCTGCGCTGCCAATATTGAAAGGAAGAGAATTCAACCTTTGGATGATAAATTCAAACAGACCTCTTCAAGTCGGTTTAGGATTCATTCAACAAAAACACGTCAAAGTCCATTACATCGTGTCAGTAAGAAGTGGCTACAGACCCAAAAACCATCCTGGCAGCATGGGAAGATCATTTTTGGGCAATTAGTTCTGCCAACACAGAGCTCTCTTTGGTCATGTGCTCCTTAGAACAAGAGATCACTAAGATGATGCACAACTCCTGCAATAATGAAGACTCCCTGCTAGATGTCCCTTTCGTGTCTGAGGAAGTCGATAGTGTCTTGAAGAAGTTGAAACTCGGTAAGGCCGCCGGACACGATGGGGTGCAGGCAGAACACCTATAATATGGGGGTCCAATTCTTCGAGACTGGGTTCTGCAAATTTGTAACACAATCACGGAACTGTCAACATGTACCTGATTCCCTCAAAATTGGAATCATAACACCGTTGTATAAAGGAGGAGGTAAGGATCCTCTCGATACACACAGTTACAGCGGAGTCACGCTTACATCAGTGCTTGCCAAAGTTTTGGAGTCACTCATCACGGCTGCAGTGTCATTTCTCAGATAAAGGTATACCTCATCTCAATCAGACAGCCTACCGCAAAGGTGTCTCCTGTGCAGAAGCTATATATTCTCAACGTTGGAGGTACTATCCTTTTACTCACAGCGCTGTGAAAAAAGTGTACATTTGTTTCTACGACCTGCAAAAGGCCTTCGACTCCGTCCATTACTCCGTTCTCCTAAAACGCCTGTATGAGGCTGGCATTGATGGCAGGGCTTGGACATTGCTTCGAAGCTGGTATTCATCTCCAAAGAGCATGGTGAGCGTCGATGGCTCTCTGTCTTCCATGTTCATTCTAGAGTGTGGAGTTCTCCAAGGCTCTGTCCTCTCCCCAGTTCTCTTCCCAAGTTTTAGAGGCTCGCTTGGACTGTGAAGGAAGGCTGTGGAGAAACCGTCGCTAAAATCATGAAGTTTGAGCCTTTCTCGACTAATCTTGAGATGGAGGAGCTGCAGAAAGTCTTTGTTGCGGGAGCAGTGGCGAGCCAAACGCGGCACGTTTATATCGTGTGTGAAAAACTGTCGTGTTTGCTGGACGGTAAACTTTAATTAAGAAGGTTTGCGTTTCCCCCCTGACTTGTCTCTTTGTTTTGGGGTATGAAGCGGTAAAAATGGCGCTTTTTTACACAATTTTCTGCACTCTACAGCCATTTTTGAGGATAGAGAGGAACTCTGTGCTTATTTATACGTATAGATCTAACAAACAGCTTCACAGTTATACCCATAAATGTTGGAATATCATGCTGGATTGACATGCCAAGTGTAATACATAGCATCATGCCTAAACGTTGCAGTTATAATGATCACACAGCAACTGCATAACTAAACAAAAAACTGCCTATACTACCCCTATGCGCTGTGGCAATTCTTTATAGTTGTGCTTTTGACGCACCATTTTACCGCTTTATATTATACCTCCAAAACACACATACCTTTGGATCCTGAAGCTCAACATTAGTTCTACTCTTTGCAAAATACTGTGAATTTCTAGCTCGTCTGATTTTCATGAAACTGTCAGTGTATCAATGGCATGTCTTTGGGAATCTACTTAGATTGATGCCTCTGACGTGATGCACACATGGCAGTGGAAGTGCAAAGTTGACGAGTTCATTTCACTGGCAACAAGTAGCTAGCTAGTTACACAAATTACAAAAATACTGTAGCTATAAAGGAAGCTAACAACTGTCTATCTAACAAAAAAGCTAACAACTGTCTATCTACCAAAAAAGCTAAAACTGCATGTCTATCTCGTTTATAAGCTACTACTTCACAAGAAAAAATTATGACACTATTTTCTTTTAATTTTCTCTTGGCAGTTCACCAGAGAAACATTTCTCTGGAGGGTTCATAGAAGATTCAGCTGGACAGTTGAATGCCTTAGAAAATTCTTCATAGTTAGATAAAGTTCCGATGATCCTGCACAAGAGAGTGAGAAACTGAGATAGACAAGGCTACAAGAACGTAGCTAACACCTAAATCCTTTCTAAAGTCTATTTGACATCACCTTGACTGATTGACTCAGCCCTGACTATAGGGCATGCAGTTAGACTCTAGGGCTCACGTGAATGTGCGAATAGACTTATATTGAGTTATAAGTGGCGGGAAATAAGTGTTCACCTGAATTCCCCTGGACTGTGTGCAATGGCTATAATTATACACGAAACAAATTTTCAGTAGAGTAGGAGCACCAAAGCTGAAAAGTACTAACCAATTTTCAGATTGCCAACAAAGCGATATGCAAATATCTATGTTGATACTTGTCCAAATGCAATGAAAACAGTTGGTCTTCGGTGAAATCAGTCAGTCCGGACAGATCCATGCTTTCTCTCGCAATCTTCTTGTATGCCTGCATATTATATAGAAGTCAATAGCTAAATCTGGTGGTTTGCTTTCATAGTGTATGTAGCTATCACATTATAGCTTGCTCTGATTCCTCCATTATCGGCAATGTTTTCTCCAAGTGTACTGTTTCCATCCACCTGCAGCGAAAGTGAAGTTTAATACAACACACCTAACAGCACAGGCTGATAACGAAAAATATCAGAAAACACTTTACATAATCATACTGATAATTATTCCAAAGAGTTTGTATTGGGAGTATTGATCCGCAAAGCAATGGGCTATGTCATTGAAGGTGTCTACAGCCATCTGACTCCACCACATTCTCTTCCGACCTTCCTTATCATATTGTCGACCTGCACAATGACCCTATATTACAGTCTCCCTCAACTCTATTGTAATTACACATTAGTGACGATTATTGACGAGTGAAGCAAGTTTTCCTAGTCAGTTTTATTTCAATTCCAAGGGCACTGTCTGCAAACCATAATGTGCTACGTAACTCATTCGCAATAATTGTGTAATGTTGCGCTGCGTGTGACTCCTTGGGTTCGTTCTAGTATTATTATTTTACATGGCTCAGGTGATCATTGTAAGGTTAGAGGATTCAATGTCAGGAACTCAGCATGCATAGCGGAAAAAAAAAATTTACTGGTGTGCACGAGTGTTTTTCTTGCTTCAACCACTGCTGGTATACCAAACAATTCCCATGAAAAATTAAAAAAATTGCCAACAATACCAGTCAGTAGTACTAAGAAATGTGTATGTGTTATCAAATTCTAGTATCAGGGATGTTGAGAAAGTAACATGGGGATTCAAAACTGGAGAACGCGGGTCAAAAGCTCGTCAATACTCCAAACTTGGATTATCATTTCCAACACTACATCCTAGATATAGAATTGAGGCCTGTCCGAGCATGCGCGCCGAGGGTGAGGTATGTACGTGGGCTCACCTTTGCTACTAAAAATAGAGCCGAGCAATGACGTAATCAATGTATACGCAGTAGCGCTCAGCTTTGCTACTAAAAATAGAGCCGAGCAATGACGTAATCAATATATATGCTGGCTCTTCTTTTGCAGATGAGCAAGGTGTTGACGGGACTCCTACATTTGACATTTCTCGACCCCTCTCACAACAGCATACTTTCTGTGACCTTTCCTTCTTCCTCCTCCTCTCTCTCTTCTTCTCTTCATGTTCTGGTTCTCAACTCCACATTTATTTCCTGGTCCGCTGTTCAGACATGTCTGATTGCCTGCCCCTGGTAATTTCCCCTCTTTATTGCTCTCTTAATCCTCCATTGCCCATGTGTACTTATTCTTGATGAACTGTCCTTAGGATAAGGGTAATTTCTGTTTGCGTCTTAATGTGAATTGCAATTTATCAAGGGTCATTTATTAATCCAGGTTTACCATGGTCATTGTTACTTCTAAGACGTTTATACACATAAATCCTTTATGAAGTGGTTTCCTTTTTTAGTTTGTGTCGAAGTATATACTCTTTGTAACGGAGTAGCTAGCTATCCATCATAGGAGTTGTCAGTGTAGAGCTCCCCTCTCCTGTGTGGAGTTTGTTGGTCTACTCTTCCTCTGTCCTCAGTTTACAGGAGCTTCATCTCAACAACAACGGCTACTCAAATGTGACCCTTGACCCCTCCTACTCCCACTCTTCCCTGCAACGACTACACCTCAACAACAATCACATATCCCAGTGAGTTGAGCTAGAGAGACTAGGCCACACCTTCCCGTCTCTCAACACACTAGTAGCCATCTCTAACCCTCTGAGAGAAATCCTTGAGGTGGGCCAGGCCTTTCTCTCCCTCCGTTCCTTCACTCTCAGCTCCACCAATCTCTCTGATTGGTCGTCAGTAGAGTCCCTTGCCTCTCTTACTGACCTCTCTGACCTCCGCATGTACGGTGTGCCCCTGGGGCAGGAGATGAGTGAGAGAGAGAGGAGGTTCTCTGTTATTGCTCGAATGCCCACTCTTCGCTGGTTCAACAAGAGTGAGATTAGTTCAATGGAGAGAGAGAACGCCGAGTGCTGGCTGATTCGGCTCTACCGAGACAAGACAGAGAGACCACAGGTCTACCAGACTCTAGTGGACACCCACGGTCTCCTGCAGCCACTACTGGACCTGGACCTCTCCTCTCACCACAAGGTCTCTCTCCAGTTCCTAATAGACCACGAGGACTGGAGGAGGACAGAGGTTGTATTCATATTCAGTAGCTCTGACAGACTATTTCGATGTACAAATTAGTGGCTTGGTATCTAGAATTTAACTATTAATATGACAGCTATGGGTGTTTTTGTGCCTTTGAACTTTAGCAATAGTGCAACTGCGAAATACTTCACAAAAGTCATGCTCCAGTTGAAACTGTTAATTGAAGATGGCACGACAACGAATCTTAATAGCCATCACACATCGATCACAGTTCAGTTGATAGCTGTTTAAGTGCATCCACGCTTATGCTATCTGTCCGTATTCATGTGCAATCTAATGGCCCGTGTGAGTGAGTGATAAAATGAAAAAGGTTTTAGTACTGCTGATGCTTTGAACTACAGCATTTACAGTAAAAGTTTAGATTACAGATTGAAAAAGCACTAAACAAAGTGCAAACCCTCGGCGACCTGCGCATGCGCGGTACCGCAAAATGATGGGCTGGGCTCTATAATGAGAATGCGTTTGGTCTCCCGCTTGTAGCTCGCGGAGAGTATATATGACGCGGGCTGGCTACAGTAGTAGATAGCATGCGGGAGTCGATACACGCCGTTCGTTGTGCCTTCAAGATACACAGAGCGAGCTGAGTTCAACGTTTATCCGCAGCTTAGTACGTGGTAGCTATATATTGTTTGTGGAGCGATTGATGGCTCCGCTCGTGAAGTGGGATAGCTCGCGGACTGACAGACACACGCACACACGCACACACCAGTACAGTAACCCTCGCTGCGCATGCGCGCCGAGGGTTAAAATCAAATGAAGGGGGATGGGAAGGCTCAGAACATAAGAAAGTAAGAAACAACTAAGGGTCCTTACACAGCTAGGACGCACAAAGCTAAGTGACACCATCACCGATATCTTTGTCTTATTTGAAGGATGGTTGTGACAGAGAACAGTAAACACGACACAGGGCGGATCCAGGATTTTGTTTGGGAGGGGGCAACGACTGCTCATGCGCAAAGATCCTGTCGCGCGCAATCCCGTTTTTCCTGTTGATAGGTATATTATACATACCGGAAGAAATGTACTTCCATACCTACCAACCTGCAGATGAAACTTTGCTTGAGAAATGTGTGAAATTTGCTTGATTTGGAATATTTTTGTTTGAAAATGCTGTGTCCATTCAAAATGTATGGGCATGATGCATCACAGGTTTTTAACACAAACAAGAGGTATTTGGCGATTTTCTGGTGGGATAGGCAGTATTTTTACTTGATTATCAAGCAAAAAGCTGGATGGTTGGTAGGTACTTCTCTTTTTACCGGAACCACATTCGTTGAGATTGCCAATAGAGCGTTGAATTCATAGCTAAGTGACAGCCACGATCGCGAGAGCTAGCGATGAGAGAGCAGCCTTGCGCGAGCAGGCGCTGGGCTAAGTAAGCGCCGTCATGTAGCCAAGGATCCAGGAAAAACGTTGTTTGCAGTTGGCGCGGCAGCACAAGAGATCGAGAGCGCTCAAGTTCGAGCGCGCGTGTGCGTGCATATAGTAACTGGGGGCGAGGCCAGGGCAGCGTGACGTCATATACACCAGACGAGGGGGGGGCAACTGCCCCCATGCCCCCCCGCCCCCCTGGATCCGCCCCTACGACAGAGAACATCAATGATTAATTGTCATACTGCCTGGATTTAAAAAGAGGATGTGTTTGTATTTGGCACATGTGTTCCTGACTCCCAGCTCAAAATTATCATACCAGCTATAGTCTGAGCTTATAACATTTGTTTCTTTGTTCCACATAATTTACTCAGATGAAAGGGACTGAGAAAGAATTAGTGGTGGAGGAAGTCACGACCAGAGATTATCTCCTTCCAAAGACAGAGAAGTTCCGCCGATTAGCTGTATATTATAGTTAGCTACATTGTAACTTACTAAGAGCTAGAACAGAATGTACGAGGAGAAGGAGGTACCTTAGATGATGTACAGAGAAACTAAGTGAACCCTGTGGACGCCATGGGTATCAGCAGAAATTGATGTATAAAATATTAGCACCTAGTATTATCACCCCATATAAATTATTCTGGAGTTATGGAGGCTCTGGGCACATTTATGTGTCCATGGCTGGTTAAGTGTTAATCGTTGAGTGAGGATCCTAGATGGAGACGTAGAAGGAGATGACAAGTCGGAGAAAAGCAAATAGCAAAGAACAATGTATCATTAAGCAGGTGCAACTGCAACAAGACGAAATACAAACGAAGTTCTGAAATGTAATAGGACATTGATAGCAGACTACAGTGTTCATAGCTAGAGCTCAAGTCAGCTTAAGAGCTTAAGTGTTAAGTGACTAATGTCCCCTCTTCTCCAGTAGACGGACAATATCAGAGTGTCCTTGGAATCTGGCAATGTCAATGGGTCTCGTTCCCTGAATGATGACAGATGACTTTAGTTAGTGACCAGCAATAGTGGTGATCAGTTGGCATCACTGATTACCTGGAATCCAGTTAGGTTCACATCTGCTCCATTTGCTAGCAGGATATTCACCACATCAATTTGTCCCTGTTGACATGCCATAAAGAGAGGAGTCGACCCAGTCTGCGAGAAAAACAGAAAGCCATGATGTAAATGACGAATGGAAACTGAAATTGTTGAAGAAACAGGAACATTGGCACTGTCACCATTTGTCTTTCTAGTCATTTAGACTAACCAATCTCGCTATATACGTCATGCTCAGTGGCAGTACATGAGACACTTAATTATAGTGAAACGTCCGCACAAGAAGCACAAGAAACACCTTTGATTTATGCGTCAACAACTAGGTAAGCAAAGCAAACAAGTCAAATACACCCAGGACAGCTCTTTCTTTTAGAGAAGAAGAGCTTGTTTCTGAATGCATCAGACGTATTCTGACCCCTCTACAAATCAGGGTGTGTTTCCGACCTCATCAGACCCTCAGGTCTTCACTTTCAAAACCTAAGTACCTGGTGCCAGTCCTCCAAAGATCTGGAGTTGTTTACAAGATCCCTTGTACTTGTACCTACTGTTCGTCAGTTTACATATGACAGACCGGTCGCAGGCTGTGTAAACGCATCTCTGAACACAAACGAGTCGTAAAACAAGCTGACTCCAACTCAGCAGCTGGAGTCGTTTACAACATCCCCTACTTTTTGTCGGTTTACATATGACAACCTTGATGTTCCCTCTTGTATCTATCTTTTTCTGGCAATCCTCTGTCCCTTAACTTTTGCATTCCTCTGTATCCCTGTTTGTTCAATTTCCTGTATTTCTTATATATATTATCTTGAGCTTCGGTTTTATACTGCACATTTCACTGATGATAGTGTCACCGAAATGTCTGATATAGTTTTCGGCTAGTGTAGCTACTTTGTTGTCCCAGAAGAATGATTCCTGGTAGCTGAGCTCAGAAAGAAACTGTAGGTATCAACATCACTAGGTATATATGCATGTTCAAAGGGACCTGAACCACTCCGGCACACTCGGCAAAAATTCTTCTTAAATCTTTGGTGAGGGTTACAGTACTTGTTCTGTAACCTTGTTGGCCACCACACTGTTTGTGTGTTGGAAAAAGGCAGCAGTCCCAAGTTTTGGGATGAGAGAGGATCAGTAGGACAAGTAACAGTACACAGCTAGGCCTGACTAGTTTACACCTGTGTATTAGGTTAATTAACACTCTCCTCTCTATATACAACCGACCACAGGTCAAGGCCAGAGGTCACTTCATTGGGTGAATATAGTGTTTAGCTCGGATAAAACAACAGAAAGAGAGAGTGAAGCATGGGTTCACTGAAAGAATGTCACAAAGTTACACAATTTGTTTACGATCTTAGCTCTATCCACACCAGCTCCGTTTCTCAGTAGGATATTCACCACTTCACTGTGTCCACTCTGACTGGCAATAGAGAGAGGAGTTGCCCCAGTCTGTGGGAGAGTAAAAAAATCACAGCTTGATGAAAATCGATGTTTATGTCTCCAGGGTATCGTCAGAATGTCGGTGGGCGCTCTTGTCATCCCTACATAGAGCGTCCATTTACGCTCTGATTATGGTCGCTCTGATGTGCATGGGGTTGACAATGAACTATTCGAACTTGTTGAGAGCTATCTGACAAAAAGCAAGCACCATGCACATTTAGAAGCTAGCAGTGAGATGTGGTAATGGAGTTAGGGAGGCTGGACACTTAAACACCAGCATTGTACACAAAGTAATAACAAATGGACTGCTGATGGCTGAAACAGAATGAAGCAGAAAGCAGAATGAAGGGGCAGTGTAGCTGAAGAGAGAGAAGGGTTGTCATGGAGGTCATTAGCATAGTTATTATTTGAACAGAGCGTGTTGTTTAATGTGGGTGGGGGGTGAGGAGACTTTTAGTGACCATACTGCTTCAAGGTGGGCCACAAATAGTAGAAAAACAGATTCTCAAAATTGTTTGTAACTTACACACCAAGTGTGTCTAACAATGCTCTGAGGTTGCTTCCCACGCAAATTAACAACAAGAGCCAGCCAGCCCCTCTAAAAGGGGTTGGCTCCATGAGACTAAACAGGACACAACTTAATTGTAGCTATATACCACCTGAAATCTATAGCTAGGCTACAGGTGAAGGTTCCCGCACGTCTGTCAACCTGTACAATGGTTGCGTGCATAAAGTAGTGCCCCTGCTGAGCTTAATAGCAGCAAATGGCATTGGTCAGTATCTAGGAAGAGCTTCACAATGACATGCGACAAAAAGCAATCGCTTAGTGGCTGTGTGCACACCTCTTTCAATTCCGAAGACATTTAGAGAAAAAATCGGAACCTATGCTGGTTACAGTAATAACATAGGGAAGAAAGAATATTAAATAGTGTATGAGCGAATTCTCATATGGAGAACAAACGGTCCATATTTGGAGCGCACGTACATAGCTAGGTATTGAGGGTCTAGAGAGTCATTTTCACCGAGTTATAGTTATAAGGCTTTGTGTCCGCGGATCACGTGAGATTTTACTGGTGCCATCCCTAAAATTATAGAGCGTCTCCCGAGGCTCTAATATCATTATGGTGACCAGACTTCTCCCAGTCTTTAATGTATGACCAGGGAGGTTAGCTCTATCCTCTCTACAACAAACAATATCATGTGATTTCCAAACCAGTTACTGAGTTCAAAGGTCATTTCAAACGTAGCAAGACATGCTAGGGTAGAGCTAAATAAGGCAGTGAAAGGGTTGAATATCCAGTGAAACAAGTACACAATGTCATTATGCAGACCAGACCCTCTCCCTTAATGGGCCATGTATTAGGTTAGACCACATGTAAACATCAGAGGTGAAAGGTGTACATAGTGTTTAGTTCCAAAAAACAGCAGAAAGAAAGTGTGATGCAAGCGACCGCATGTGTTGTTAACAGAATGTCATGGAGTGACTGACGATTGACTTACATTCCTAGCTCTATCCACACCAGCTCCATTCCTCAGTAAGATATCCACCACTTCACTGTGTCCATTTTGACTGGCAACGTAGAGAGGAGTCGCCCCATCCTATGGGGAATAACAATAAGTTTAGCTAGATCAAACCACTGCATGCAACACGAATAAGGTTGGTAGAATACTAATTAAGTTCCAGGTTATATGATGAGAGAGGATTGGTAGGACAAGTAACAGTGAATGGTCTAGAGATATTTTTTTAACAATTCTGCTCATCTTCTATTTTTCAAATCTCTACGTCATATACATCAGTTGATTTACATTCCTAGCTCTATCCACAGCAGCTCCATTCCTCAGTAGGATATTCACCACTTCACTGTGTCCATTTTGACTGGCAACGTAGAGAGGAGTCGCCCCATCCTATGGGGAAGAACAATAAACTGAATAGTTTAGCTAGATCAAACCACTGCGTGCAACACGAATAAGGTTGGTAGAATACTAATTAAGTTCCAAGTTATAAGATGAGAGAGGATTGGTAGGACTATATATGTAACAGTAAAGTTAGATGTGACTGACTGCACTGGCACAGTAAACGACTGAAGATTGTCATGCAGTGACTGATGATTGACTTACGTTCATCAGCTCTATCCACACCAGCTCCATTCCTCAGTAGGATATTCACCACTTCACTGTGTCCATTTTCACTGGCAATGTAGAGAGGAGTTGCCCCAGTCTGTATGAATTATTGTGGATAACACGTGAGTGAATATCCCGGAGAAGATCAGATAAGCAAAACAATAGACCTACTTATGTACATGGTTTTCGACATAGCTTGCATTCAGTAATTGGTTGTGCAAGTGGTCTTCTACACACACTGGCAGAGTCAGGTGATGGTAGGGATATGAATAGCTCTCTCAGTCTGAGGTGTTTACATTCCCTGGTTTAATTTTGCCATTGCTACATCTCACATTTGACACAATGCAGCCCCTGTTACAGCTTGTGATAGGCAGCAGCATAGTCATGGAACCTTGTGATTAATAAAACTTCCAGGAAGAAATGTAGACCATTAATGTTTGGTGTAGATGTTCCATGTGCAACAGGTCTTCCAGAGGGAGTCTGACTGGAAGAGACACAAGTGGACAGCAGAGTATGTTTATAGTCCAAACTGGTTTAGGGGAATTAGGGGAGCATACGGCAGTGGAGTGAGAGTCTTGTCTGAGATGTTCCCACAACTGGGGGAGGACTATCAGTCAACAACAATTCTCAATACCCCTCTTCCCTCAACTCTATACCTTCCTGATTATGGGGTAGCCTTGATTTTATAGCAGAGGACCTCTTAAACCTTGATCTAACATTCACTAAAGGTTCTGCCATGGTATCCCTAGCCTCAACTAGCTTCAGAGCATTCCAGTTAGCAAAAAACGGTATAGCCTCACTGTATTCTACCGATATATAATATTTATGTACCGATTGTTTCCCAGCCATCGTCATGTACAGCCAATCTCTCATTCATTGTCCTAGTTGTAGCTCTGCCCATACACTTAATATTACGCAATAACAATGTATGCTAGTTATTCCGATACCCAGCCCTATATATAGCCCCAACTCCCAGGATCGCACTACCAGAAAAAATTACCCGTTTTGATACTATGGGGATCTTCTTAAATAAGCAAACATTTTTGTATAGTGCCTAGTAGTATAACCCCCACATATTTTTTTTAAGGAGGCTCTGGACACATTTATGTGTCCATGGCTGGTTTTAATTATGTGTTTCAGGAAACAAACCTTGTCTCCAGGATCTCCCTTCACATAATAATACTCGTTCAATGTATGCATGTTACCTTTGACCACTGGCAGTGAAAAGATGCCAACTGGTAAAAGATAAACCAAGTTTCATAATGAAGAAGCATGTTTGATCATGTTTTCAGACATGAATCAAGCTACCCAGGGCCACTGGTCTTGGCAGTAGAGCCTTAAGTTATTTTTGCCTCAGAATAATATTAAAGCAGTAGCTATAGGGCAACAGTTGTATTTTATTAGAAGGGTGATGTAAAGTAGACCCATACATACATCACGAGGCAGGTTGATATTAGCTCCATTCCTTATCAGGATCTCCACTACATCACTGTGTCCATTCTGACAGGCCATGAAGAGAGGAGTTGCCCCACTCTGTGGCAGAGGAGGAATAGTAATTCTGTTAGCTACAAGTCTCATCAACTCATTAGACAGAAAAAATTAACCAAACGGCTGGCACATTCTCAGGTAAACAAAGTGTATTACTCTCTCTTTGACCAGTCTTAAACAACTTTACAGAATGTCATTCTAGACCAAAGAGGAAGATCAGATATGGATGTGTGTGATATGGACAATCAAATGGTTTGGTGATGCAGAGAGTAGGTGGCCAGTATCTATTGCAGTAGATATTTAAGATAAATTTCGATATTGGCAGTGCCTTTTGGTATGCCTATGCACCGTGCTACAAGTCATCTTAGCAAACCAATACTCTCCGCATTACTGAGGGCTAAAATGGCACATACTGTTTTCTGTATGTCCAGTTGTGCCCCAGCCTCAGTCAGTAGCCTCACTACATCAGTTTTGCCTTTTTGAGCTGCCACATGAAGAGCTGTGGAACCTAACTGTAGATATGACAGAGGAGAGATTGTTGCCATAGAAGTGAAAGACATTAACCTATACTGAGCCAAACTGTATAGGAGTTCTAACCAGAAAAACAGGAATAGAGTCTCTACTGGCTCTGCTCACACTTTTTATTATGGACATTTTTTTTATGGACATAATAATATGAAAAAAGAAACTGACATTGGTTGTCTGTATGTCCAGCTGTGCCC